AAACACTCCGAACCTGTTAGATAATATGGCTACCAATGCTGGACAGTTGTTACAGCTATCAGCTGGAAGGTTACTTAACACTGTCATAATTTGTCCTTTTAAATGGGCAGCAAAGTGGATGACTTCTTGTTCACTATTACACCTGCTCACTGTGCAAATAATTTCAAACTGAGCTTGGTATGACTCCTGTGGTACCTTCCCATAATAGTCTATTGGTTTCTCAATTGGCCAGCTAAATTCTGGAACTGGATTTGTTAATGTCACTGCTGGGGCAGTCCGGAAAGTCTTTCCATAACAGGTGGCACAGCAGTAATTGTAATAGGTGTAGACCAAATAAATTCTCTTATTCCATATATGGTAGTAGATGATGTTTTTGGTTGAAACTCTTAAGCAGATAGTGTTTTGAACTTTGCATTTGATAATTTGTTTTTCAGATGTAATATTATGTCACTGATGTTCTTTTATATCTCATTAATGCTCTTTTCTACCTTGTTCATGTCTTTTTTATACATGATTAATTTTATCATTACAATCTTTCCGTACTCCTTTGATGGTCTTCTGTCTTTCTCCAAATTTGTTATAGTAATCTCTCTGTATATCTTCAATAGCTTCATCGATCTTTTCTTCAATCAGATTTACTTTTGAATTTAATTCTTCTTTAAATAATACGTCTCTTTTTTTTTCTCATTTTTTCCTTAATTTCTTGTCACATTATTTTAATTTTCTGTTTCGTTCTTCTTGATCTTCTTTTGTGTTCGTATATTTTTCTTCTTGGTCATCTCTTAATTTTCTGTAAATTTCTTCTTGCTCTTTTTGAAGTTTTCTGTCTCGTTCCTCTTGATGTTGTCTTAATAATTTCAACAACTCAAGTAAAGTTTGATTCTCGCTATATGACTTTGTGGTAGTTATCTTTAACAGTTGAATTTCTATGTCAAGTGTATTCAAAGTTCTAATTTGTTTTCATCAAAATAATATCCCTCTTCTGACACCAGTCTTTCTTTCGTTGGCAGGTTCTCTTAAATTATCCATCAAAATAATTCAAAGTACAGTCCAAGTGAACTATAATAATTGAGCTTATATCCTTCTTTAACGTTTTACAAACTTGAACACTTGTATACTTTCGTAAATTGTATTAGGCTTGCGTTACAAATGACATCAATGTAAAATACAATCAACTTACTTGTACAAAGTAACTTAATAAGCGTGAATGCGAACATGGATATATATTTACTTCACAAACACACTGACTGATTCAACACTTTATCATGAAAAACTTCACACACTTCAAAGCTATCTTATATTTTATAGTCTAGCTTCGATTGTACAAGAACATTGACATTAACTTAGAGCTTTCTAGACATTCTAGGCCCTCTTAACACACAAATAACAATATTAATAATATAGCTTATGAACATAGTATTTTACCTATTTTCAAGGCTCATTTAATCGGTTGGAGCGACTTCTCTCTCATTCATATAAGAAGTTTAGTGTTGTTGAGTTGCAACTTCTTACTATAATGTGATGGTCAATCCCACTATTCGTTGGTAAAAGAGTAGCCCCAGAGTTGGTGATGGATGGTGTTGACTAGCTGCCTTCACTCTAGTCTATCACTACTAACTTAGGGACGGCAAGTGTGGATAGTTTTCGATTAGCTTTGTGCGAAATTCAAAACAAACACTTCTTACTCGTCTGAATGTTGCTTCGTTCAGAGTCATTTGACATGTCTAAGGCTGTTTTATCAG